CCCCCCCCCCCCCCCCCCGCACAACGAAAAAACGTACGCGCACAACTTACGCTCCGTCGGCGTCCCTCGTTACGTCAGCTGCTAGACATGCCTCGACATCACTTGTCCATGGGTGCGGTTTACTCCACCTGCGTTCGGTCAAATTGTCTAATGTGAACATGAAGTTATTGCGTGAACCGGACACAAGTTATTGCGACCCTGGCCGACACTCAGTTGCCGATCGCGGCGGGAGATGAAGCGAGCTTAACTGGTCGGTATGCACGGAACTGCAGACAAAACGAGATATGTGTGCTTGTCCGTGTTGCTATGACATGAAGAAGCGGTTAGGGTGAGGAATTTCAGGAGAAAGGGAAGAGGCTTACGAGCGTTACTGGCGTGGACAATAGCGCGAGGGAGAACGTGTCGACACTTGTTATCATCCTTGCCTGTCGGGAGAACTTCGGCAAGTTTTGCACTCTGAAGACCACGTGAAAAATCGGACGGTCCATTTGCATTCCCAACGAATGAATGAATGAGAACCATTCAATCTCGTTTAGGTACCAACAGGGGGGGGGGTCACGAGAAAACCTAATGTTAATAGCAGCCGCCACTTTGCGCCAGAGCGAGGGTGTGCCCTTGCCTGCGAAGAGCGCTTCGGCAAGCCTCGTCCCCGACAATCTGTCCCAAGAGCAACAGCCAATCGCCGTGAAGGGCGAGAATCAAGCAAAACTGGTCCAGCGCATGCTGCAAAACAAGAAAGGACCACAAAAAGCGACCGACACGGTAAATGGAGAGGTTTAGAGAAACCAGGCCTTTATAATCCACGTCGAATTCACGCGAGAAGCGGAGGCAGAGACGCGGGAAGCAAACTTGGTGGAAACATGCACCACGATCGTTGCATAGCTACGTTATATGGTGTTGCCTATGCCCAAGCAGAGGGGTTATCCGTGGGTACACACGTTAGACCGCACAGAGTCGACGAGGGAACTAGAATGGGTGACTTCTTCTCGCTATAAAAAATAATAGCAAGCGCCGAAGGAGAGAGGGAGAAGAAGAAATTGCGGCTTTCCTGCTGTGAGATTCCGGCTGGCTGGTGGGTCCAAACTGGCCGAAACGCGCACCAATAAACAGACGTCCAGAAGAGACGAAGCAACAACACGCACATGCATCAGGTTTAATTCAGACCATTCCCGCCCCAGTACGTGCTGAAGTCATTTTGTTTTGCGCTTACTCACTTCACAAGATTTCGGGACCACCACGGACTGTAGTCAAGCCTTCTCGCGTACCTGCAAGGGGTGCTCTTCCTCTACTACACACGGGCCCTCCTCTGCAGGCGATATTCTTCTTTCGGCCCTCTCTCTTGCCGGAATGAGGTTGCTCTTGGCGCCAACAATCTCTCCTCCGTTTCTTGTGCTACTTGTTTTGCTTCCGTTGTCGTCCCCGGCGCTGAGAATGCCTTGCCCTTCCATCGGTTGAAGCTGTTCCTTCCTCTCTCTGTCTACTGTTTGCGGCGCACAGTCCTGAGAAATGACGCAAAGTTTTCCAACGCCGAAAAAACTTGTTATAGCTATGGTAAGTCGTCTAATGTCTCCGACTCTTGCTGCGACAAGGACACGTGGGTTCTGTCTCTTTGTCTTTCTCCATCTGTTTTCTCTCCTTGATCCTCCTTCTGTCTCTTTCGACACCGCCGCCGGTACGACTCAAGCTACCGTCTTCTGCGAAATATTCCTTGAGTATCAGGTGCGGTACCAATAAAAAGTTGTTGTATCCGCCGCGTTGGGCACTTTGGATTATGTACCACGTGGAACGCACCGATTGATCGAATCTTTCTCTTCATAGATATTCCTTCCTCGACGGCCCCAAAAACTGTTGTGGAGTACGCGTGAAGGCTCGGCGATAGTGTAGCTGTGGGAACACCTTCCTGTAGAGAGAGTCGACCCTCACCAACTACATCGGCCCACCTTAGCTGGGTTCGTGATACACGTAAGACTCGTATTGAGGACAGATCTTCACGGCGCGAAGTCATTATTTCCTCTCAAAAGTCAAAGGGAGGCATTCGCCGTTTGTACCTCCACGAGGCAGTGCTCCCTCCTCCTTCCCTGTACCTCCCTTCCGGCTTTCCGTCACCCACCTTCAAACCTCCCCACCCTGCGTGAGGAGGTACCGTTGAGGTGGCGGCGGCTCGTACAGCCTCCTCGGCGGCTTCCACACCGGTAGCGGCAGCAAGCACCTCGCTTGAATCCGCAGCCATCGGCAACCGTTCTGCGGAATTCCGAAGCTTTTTCAACGCATTCGCAGTCCCGATCACCATATTCTCTGGGTGACGCTGGTCGTCGTCGTCGTCGTCGTCGATGCTGCTGAAAGCATCGTCATCGACGAAACCATCTGCGATCTCGTCTAGAGCGTTCGGACCCGTGCATGATCGCCGCCCGCCCCCGTCGGTGGCAAGCGCGCTGCCGTCGTCCGTTTCGGTTCCATCGCCGTTGGCGTCATCGTCGTCTGGAGATTCTGGCGGTACTTCCGTATTCTCGCCCCAGGAAACAGTCTAACAAACGTGAAAAGCGGAGATTTCATCGGATCGAGAACTGATCGGCTGATTGCCGAAGTTTTTGCTCCAAGAGGCGAAAACGACATTTTTTGGTTGTCAACACGAGGGTACAAAAACTTAGCGGCTGCACGAAACAATGTTCATGGTCAAACAACGACTAGGTGTCAAGAGCAGAAACGTCGAACAGGGCAGGTGGTTTGATAGTATGTCAACAGTGCGACCCCTGTCGGGAGCGAGAGCCAAGTCCAAACGCATCGCGGAGCGTATATCCAACTAGTCAATCTAATCCTGTGTCGTCGCGTCATCCACCTTTCTGTTGGAATCTTGTCTCTTCGCGTTTCTGAACCTTTGCTTGTCGGCACGGTTTCCCGACGGTATCCGACTCGTCGCGAGGAGCGATGGCTTCGTGGGCGCGGCGCCAGCTCCTAGCCAGTTGTACCTCCGCAGCTCGCCGCCCCCGGCCAGAGCCCGTGGCGACGTGAAGCCATCTCCTACGCTACCCGGACTTCTCCCGCTACCGCCACCGTCGCCTTGGCTGTCCCTCTCCTCCCCCTCCCCGGCAAAACTAAGGGGCGATATTGCAGCTGCTGGGTCTCCTGTAAACAACTCTCCAGTTGCCGAACACGGCCTTCCTTTGTCAGCACCATCTTGTGCGCCACTGCGGGGGCTGCCAACGTCTCTTTTATGCTCTGCGATAACTCCCTTGTCCCCCCCGTCGCCAAAGCCTTCGGAAGCGTCACCACCCCTGACCACCGGCTGTGTAGCGGTATTGCCATCGACACCGTCCGCAGAGGAGGCGGACGACGGAGGAGCGGAAGCCGCCGACGTGGGTAGCACAAGCTGTACCATCGGTACCCCATCGCTGTCGAGAACCTTCCTGCCCGAGACCTTGTCAAGGACGGGAATGTCACCGCTGTTCGTCCCGCACCACGGGGTGTGGATCCACTCCGGTTCCTCCGGCGAACCGGCGGCGGGGTAATCGTCGTAGGAAAAGTTCTTCCACGCCTCGTCCTCAAGCTCATCGAAGCACCGGAGATCGTGCGAGTCTTTGCCGAAAGAATCGTCGTCATCGACGTCTACGCCTTCGTTCGCTGCGCCAACATTCTCACCCTCGCCAGC